GCCGGTTGAGCTATAGGCGCCGAGCCTCAAATTTTATTTTTTATTGTTATGAATCAGTAAAGCAAAAGTACATATATATAAGTCCTCATCGAACTCACTTTTTCCTTCTAAATTTGTTTATCTATTGAGAACTTCTCTAAGTCAGAGAACAACTTAAATGAGAAGTCCCAATCCTGTTCGCATTGCCATCATACTGGATGCATCATTTAATGTTCAGCCTGCCTCCCATGTTGACTAGAAAGACTGACTCAGGAGGGCTCCACATCTCCTCTGTCGTCATTCTTTGGGTTTGGTCAGCTGCACCTCCTTTGATTAGTCTCCATTTCTAATTGATCCAAGTGATTAACCAAAACTGAGGCTTACCTCTGTAGGAGCTAGATTGGTAACCACCGTCATTAGGTGGTTAAGCTAAAATAGGGTGCTTACATTTCAATAGGAAACTAGTGTTTGCAGAAGCAACTTTACTTTTTAATTCATATTGTTGATGCTAACCTGCCCGTATGTCAGAGTATTCAGACTTGGTGTCTGTGTGAAAGTCTATTTAAATATAATCATATTCTATCTGTGGTAATTATTTCTATTGGACTATCATGTCATGCTCAATGGTATCCAGGTATCCTCAAACTATAGCCCGTGGGCCACATGCGGCCCACCTAGGACATTTATCCAGCCCGCAGGTCTTTTTGCTGCCTCTGCCTGTCCTGCTTAGCAGCCAACTTGTCCCAGGGCCTACAGTCCAGCCCTCCAGTGATCTGAGAGACAGTGAACTGCCCCCCTGTTTAAAAAGGTGGGGACCCCTGGCATAGTCTATGTCCTGAATTTTATTTAATATTGATAATATAATTGAGACTTAAAAATTCTAAAATCAATGGTATCTATATTATAAAAGTTGCAAGGCCCTCCTGCAAGCAACATCCATGAGATAGATGTATAAACATTAAATGTGTTTGGAGGTGAAAATTTAAACATGTGCACACTTATTGGAGAATTGTATACAAGCCTAAGCCTCTGGTTATTAAAGAATTTGGTTCATTACACAAAAGCTCATTGATTTAATGCCATTACTTGTAAGAAAAATACAAATTTTTGTGCTTCTATAGGAAGTCTTATTGAACCAATTTTATTCCCTTTCAACTAGCTTTTTCACAATTTTGTGGGCCGTAAAAATCATAGAGGATGGGGGACATAAACAAGGTGTCATTGAGCCGAGTTTATCAATGACCATGTTCAATAGGAATTATGCAAATTAATAAGCTAGTTTTCATGTAATTTAGGTAAAATATATAGACTTTAAATTTTGGACATTTTGCTATAAGTAGAAATATTTTTAGGGCAATATACTATCAAAATCAATGCTTTAGTATAAATGTCAATTCTAATTGTGTTTAGTTTGAGATAATTAAATGAAATATGCAAGTATCTGTTTTAGAATTATATAACTTTCCAAATTAAATTGCTAATATGTGCTGTTTGTAAAAATTGAATGAACTCCCTTCCCAATATTATTCTGTACCACTGTTTTGGAGTGATTTATTATTTCATAACTAAATTATTGAGAAGGGTTTTAGAATCATGCATTATATATTTCACTTATGTTTTCCTAAATGAATTGGGATGTATATTTTAGAATCTCCTTGCTCAGTTTCTTTATACACATTTATACGTGGTCGTCTGTAGGCTTCAGAAGAGAGATTTTGAAAAAAAAATGTTGGAAAGAGATATGGTATTTTTTCTTGTTATGTGGCCTAGAAAACAAGGAAATCTTAATTTCACTGGGAGAATATAAGATGTCTAATTAATTCACTGGACAATATGAGTTAATATCATTTTAAAACAAATATGGTAGGAGGAAAGAGTTGAAACAACTGTATTTTGACAAGATAAATAAGGTTCAATATAAACAAAGTTCAATATTAAAAAAAAGTTATAGATATATTATGGATAAATGAATGAAAATCTTAGTTTCTTGCCAGGGAAGGGCAACCAGATAATTTAGTTTTGAAACCATAGTTCTAATAAATGGAAATTTAATCTTCAATTTGAAACTCCTGTGGGATTTTCTTGAATCATTATTGATTGGATTTCAGTTCTTACCTCAGGAGACAAATTGGTTGAAGTTAGGATTTAATTGAATTGAGAGTTACAATGGATCTGCTTCTTTCCTACTGTGCTTTCTATTTTCAAACAAAATTTAGCTGGGTGGCTGGCCTCTATAGTGCTGGCTACTCCAGAAACTTAGGCAGGAGAGTTTGGTGAGCCCAGGGGTTCAAGATTGCAGTGAGCTGTGATCAGGCTACTGCACTCCAACCTGGGTAACACAGTAAAAATACATACACACATACATACTTGCATGCATGCATGTATGCATAAATAATTAAATAAATGAAATAATAAAACAATAAAGGCAAAAATGTAAGAAACCAAAAGATTGATACACTTAAAAAACATGCAAAAATCAAGAGACCATAACATAAAATAATCGTTGCTATATCATAGCTCTCATGTGTACCATTAATTGTCAAACCAAGAATTACCTTCAACAGTCCAGTATAAACTTACATGAATTATGATTTTATTTCAAGTGGGTGGTTTTAATTTAGTTCTATTTAAAGGCACTTACTTTGTTCTTTGTTTCATTTTATTATTATTTTTTAAATTTCAAAATATTAAGGGGATACAAATGTTTTTGTTACATGGATATCTTTTGTAATGTTTGAGTCTTATCCTGTTCTTTAAATGTACATGTTAAGAAGTATTGTATGTGAAAAACCTGTGGTTTCCCCAGGATGATCCGAATCACCTCAGTGTTGAGGAGATTGGAGAGGGCAGGGTTGAGAGGCTGGTTAACTGGTACAAGCATACAGTTGGATAGAAGAAATAGGTTCCCACGTTCAATCACAGAGTAGGGTGAGTAAAGTTACCAACAATTTACTTGTATATTTGAAATCAGCTAGAAGAGAGGACTTGGAATCTTCCCAAGATGGAGAGGTAATGAATACTTGAGGTTATACCCTGCATAATCCTGACTGGATCTTACACATTCTAGGAAACAAAATCTCACACGTACCCCATAAATGCATAAGAATATTATGTATCAGTACAAGATTGAGGAAATCAGGAGAAAAGTTAATTATAATATGAATAATATCATGAGGATACAATGTGAATGATAATACCGGAATGGAAATTTGTGTATCCAATGCCATCATGGTACCATATTTAAAAATATTCTGGTAGATATATTTTTCAAATATGCTTTTGACAATTGAAGAAGGAAAGGTGACAATATCTGTTGGCATACCTTTTGGTAATTTGTTTATTATATCTCTCATTTTCTATGTAGCTTGAAAAAAACGACAGTGAGACAGGCAGCCAGCGGATAAAACCTGTGTTTATCGAGGATGCTAATTTTGGACGACAAATATCTTACCAGCATGCAGCAGTCCACATCCCGACTGACATCTACGAAGGCTGTAAGTAAAAGATGTTAACAGCTATTGAAATACCCTACTCTTACCTACCCTATGTGTCCCATTTTGGGGTGGGAAGAAAAGAGCAAGAAAAAAGATACTTGTATTTGCATGTCACTTAAAAGTCTGTGGTAAACTCTGATTAATGTAAAAGAACAAATCGCTTTTTCCTGAACAGTTTATGGTCCCACTACATGAATATTTCTAGGAGAGTCTACATCCATGGAGACGTCCTTTTAATTTACTATTTTGTAAATAATTCTGCCTTCTGAATTTACAAGAATAACTTGCAAAACTTGGAACTATGTAGCTGTAGTATACACACAGTCGTGCAGAGCGCTCTGAAACAAATAGACAATCTGGGAAAGGCAGGGGGGTGTGTATTTTAGACTTTCTCAGTTCTTATCACTTCTATCAGGTCAGGCATTTTTTTCTCTCTAGGATAAGAGAAAAAAATCCTTTTGCTCTAGGATATAGGTGAATGGTGATACCTTTCTCCCAATATATTGTGGACTCCAGAAGGATCTAGGAATCATACTCATGTTTTTTACTTTGAATATTAAGTAGTGATTTTTTAATAAATATTTTTGATATTTGCAATCACATTTGTAACTATTATATCTCTTCAATGGTAAAGGATATAGTTAATCTCATTTAAAAATATTATATCTTTTATCTTTCAAATTTTCATATTTTCTATCACCTGTTGTTTGGTAGACATGTCAGCAAAATAATAATATTATTCTATGCCTTTCTACTGAAGTCTCATTGGAAGAAATAAACTGAATTGACATGGAGGTTTTGAGTCAAAATATTCTTTATCAATTCTCTCTATAATGTGGCCTTGTTTTTTAACTTGAACTACTATGTTGAAGAAACTTGAGGCAAATAGGGTATTATTAATTTCCTAGAAACCTTTTAAGATTGTGGGGTTTTTTTTTTTTTTTTGATATTTGGGAAGTTTGTTACTTATTCCTGAAATTCATTAATTTATAAATGTGAACAAGATTATTCTAAGTCCATGATTTTTTTTCCCCAAATGGCTTTCATATGTGGAACATTTTAATTACTGTGTGTGTATGTAAATATTATATATATATGTATATAAATTTTTTTTACATGGTGGACTTATATGTAAAAGAAAATTAACCAAAAAACACTGTGACTGAAATATATGTAGTATGACCAGAAGCATCGTTGCTCATCTCATCCCCTTCAATTTTTTAAGATGTCTTCTCTTTGTCTGGTATTGGTCATCAAGGTGGATTTCACGTAAGGGTGTGGATTATTGTTTGATTATTTGGGAGCCAGTATTGTCCGTAGATGGTAGTGAGATACTTTATAAGAATCTTCATTTTTTTATTCTTTTAATCTCTTTATTTTTTTTTACTTCATCGAAATCATATTGATAATTAAAGTCTTTATCTGTTTCCTGCTAAAACAGATGTAAAATCTGACACATATGTTGAAGCATCATTTTTTGAGGATATTAATTTTCACATAGCATAGGTATGTTTTTTCAGCATGCTACAAAAAGTCTTAGCTTTGTATAAATAATTTTTTCCTTTTTAATGTAATAAACTATTTGTAAATATCTGTAGAGGATAACTTTAATAGTTTAATAATAAACTATTTGTAAAGATCTGTAGAGGGTACTTTGAAAATCAATAAGAAAATATTTAAATATATGTTCTAGAAGTCATAAGGTACTTTTTGGAACACGTCATAGCTTTTTAAAAAAGGGAAAGAAGCCCCGTCTTTGGATTATTTACTTAGTCTCATTTTTCTTAATATCAGCAACTCCTTCCTCAGTGAAATCTCATCAGTGAGACATTAACCTTGTCTGGCCTGGACTCCTTTAAAATTCATGCCCAGTATTATAAACTGCATGAGTAAATAACAGGAGTAAAGTCAGAAATGTCCACAAGATATGAAAATTTTAATAATTACCTGTATTTCTCCTGCAGTTCATTGGAACATATCAGATTTAGAGGATCTTCCGAGGCTTCTGAGTTTAATGAATATGAAAGTGCACTTTAATTGAAGGCTTAACTGAAGGAAACAGCCTCTTTCATTTAAAGACCGTTGTGTAACTATTTTCTCAGAAGAAACCTCATGTTCTAATTTCACAAAGGCGATTACGTTTTAAAGTCCTTCAATTGAAATGTGATTATTTTTGCTCAATGATATATTTAAAGTTTTACATTTAATTAGAGCCCCCATCGAAAATTTCCACTCTTGAGAATTTCACGGGTTGCTATTTTTGTTGTATAGTTCTTTCAAATAGAAGTTCATGGTGATATTTGTTTATGTAATTATTATAGTTCTAAAAGAATATACATGAATAGGGGAAATGATAGGAAAAAAACTTTTACTTATCATCAGATTTTTCCCCCTCTACATACTCTGTAATGTAAGTGAGGCAGTCATTATTATTTCCAATTTAAAAATAAAACTGAATATATTTTTTTCACAAAGATTTCATCTTGATAGAAAAAAATAGGAAAGTTCTCAGAAGTTGTATGTTTTAAAGTCTCATAGGTTTTACTCAATGTACTTTTTGTTATACGTTGCAGTCCTACTAATGATTGGTAGTGCTATCGCGATTTATCTTGATGTTCGTTTGTCTTGATTTAAAAGATGTAGCTACTGTATCTTATATGATGTCAGTGTAAAAATTACAGAGGGAAATGCTCACAATTTTCCGAATAGCCCTTCATAATCTGCTATAAATTTTAATACCTACTGGTTTCTAAGATCCTATAAGGGTACATGTGAATCTCTCTAAATGTAGAATATAAATGTCTTAACACAATAACTAAGAAAAAGACATAAGGCTATGTTAACCAGTTGGATGAAAGTATTTCAGATTGTATACAGAAACAGTACACTGTACCCCATGATAGTATTAATGTACACTGCTATGATTTAATAAAAAATAAAAATAAATATGTCCACCATTTAATCAAAGAGTAATAACTACTAGTTTATACTTAACTGTTGTAAACAATTCATTTTATTACTGCAAAAAGTAGCAAGGTGGATAATTCCTATAATAACCTTTACAGAGTAAAAATGTTAATATTCAAATTGATTGGCATACTTCATGTATATTAGGACGTCTGGCTCCACACCTCTGATAGTTTTAAAAGTCAGAGGAAAGCTGTTCTTTCTTAAGATATTTGTGCTCTGGGGCAAAATGTTAGATTCAGAAGGAATGTGTGTGCTCCAAAGTGTATTCATATTTTTTTCAGAAAATTTTGGTCTCAGTGAAAAGAAAGATTTCTGCAGAATGATATAGTTTATAGTCCTGCTTTACCAAAGACATTTTCTAAGAGGGGAAACTTATCATCATGCTGACAGGACATTCACTTCGCTGTATAATCTTATCCTTAGAATTGCTCACAGGATAACTGAAGTTAATACATACCAACTACCACAATAAAGAGTTTAAAAGGAGAGAATTAATATTTTGAAAAACAAAAACATGATAAGAAAAAAAGAATGTGTAGAACTATAGTTTATACTAATATTTTTTGTTAATGTTTTGAAAACCTACTTTGGTTATAAATTAAACAAGTTGCATCCTAACTAATCAACCCTACTCATATTAATCATTATATGTAACATCAAATAACCACATAATTTCCAGGGCATGAGTTCCCTTCAAATCATCTGTTATCTGAAAACTAATAATTTCACTCTTTAATTTCAGTCCTCCTGTGAGTATATAATAATTTTAAACTATATTTAGCATATTGTTATTTAACAAATATCTTGAATTATCTTTGTGTTATTTTGATAAAAAGTGTCAAAAATCAAAATGAACAAAGCATTGCTATTATTACAAAACCAACATAATATGTGTTGTATTTATATGTGTTCAGAAAAATTTCACTTTTATAATGTAGTAGCTGTATAGTCTCTTATAAGATGTTAATAACTTTTAGAGGAATAGAAATCTAGGAAGGTGCATGGTTAGATGGAAGAGAAAATATTAGATTTTTTAGACATATTGTCATTTAATTACCTCAGAAGCAGCCCATAATCAGGTGAAATTTTATTAATTTTAAAAGATTCCCTTCAAATGTATTTGTAGATTTATAAATACGTATCACAGGAGTGAAAAACATTAATGTTTTATCCATTTTGCCTTTTGTACACTATTCTGTCCTTCATTAGGGAAATACTTATTGAACACCTGTTATTTGCAATGTCCTTTTTTGGATAATGAGACATAGCACTGAACAAATAGACAGAACCCCCTTCAGTCCTAGAGGTTGCATCCTAGTTGAGGGGAGTGGAGCATAAATAAATGAATGATTTAAATGATTGGAGATATGACAGTATCATAAATTCATTAGATAAAAATAAAATAGGGAAGCGATGACAGATACTTCTGGCTTAGAAGAGTTGATATTTTCAAATAGGTAGACATGTGCATGGTCCACCTCCTGAGGGTGCACCTCAACTGCAATGAAAACTTTACCTAATCAATGCAAACAATGTAACCTAAATGTATGCACCCTATACTGAACCTGAAATTAAAAAAAAAAAAATAACTATAACAAATAAAAATAAACAGGTAGACAGGAAGACCTTTTGGCTAAGGCAACATTGTGTTAGAGGTGTGTAGATAGTAAGTGTGAGAGCCATACAACCAGTAGTTGTGAGCGTGAGAGCCATACAACCACTGGGTAAGGAAGTTGTGAGCGTGAGAGCCATACAACCACTGGGTAAGGAGGTTGTGGGTGTGAGAGCCATACAACCACTGGGTAAGGAGGTTGTGGGTGTGAGAGCCATACAACCACTGGGTAAGGAGGTTGTGAGTGTGAGAGCCATACAACCAGTAGTTGTGAGCGTGAGAGCCATACAACCACTGGGTAAGGAGGTTGTG